TTTAAAATTTTATTGATTTTTAGAAAGAGAGGAAGGGAGAGAGAGAGAGAAAGAAACATCAATTTGTTGTTCCACTTATTTATGCTTTCATTGGTTGATTCTTGTATGTGCCCTGACCAGAGGATCGAACCCGCAGCCTTAGCATATCAAGGTGATGCTCTAACCAACTGAGCTCGTTTTTGATGTGCTGTTTTACTACTCCATACTTTTTTGAAAGGCCACTTATGCCTTGTTAATTATAAAGTTAGGAGATGTCCAGAGAAGGATTATTTGGGGAGGCAGTATAAGTGGTAGTTTGATTGTTCAGGATGAAAACTATTCCCTAATCTCTTCCAACATCAAGTTTTTGAAGATTCTGTTCTGAGAACAATTCAATGCACAATGCTCAAGAACCAGCAAATGTAAAACAGGAGGGAAGAGTTGGGCCATGTTCCTGGAATCTAAAGTACAAAATCATACCAAGTACAAAATTACAACTAGATTGGAAAGAATATACAATTATTAAATCTAGGGGCCAATGTCCTAATTAGGAAATATATCAGCTCAGATTATAGTTTTCAAATAAAGACATCACATTATAACTTACAGAGGTTAGTGTGATGTTTGAAAACGGCTGACCTAAGCTGCCTTTCAGGGAACTTTCCATATGAAAAGCTATTAATAAATAAATAGAACAGTGAATTCTTAAATTATTGAAGAAAACTAGAAGCAATGTGACCTAGGGAAGGGAAAACCTTTGGTGAACAAAACTTTTACTTACACCTGAAATATAAATGTCTGAAGTATAGGGAGGAACCATTTTTCCCTCATGAGTCAAGACACGTCTTTGGCATAGTTTTATGTAGTTTGTACAGCAAGAAGTGATTTTCCCTATATATCATTTAAGTTGTAGAAATACATAATTAACATTTTCTTTTTATTGTAATGTTAAAGACTTGGGTGTTACTTAATGGTTTATAAAACCCATATCTTTTTTATGTTTTCTTTTTTAAAATATGTACAGTAGTCTCCCCCTTATCCATGGTTTTGCTTTCTGTGGTTTCAGTTACCCAGGGTCAATAGCAGTCAAAATATTAAATAGAAACTCCAGAAATAAATAATTGCACCCCATTTATAAGAGGATGATGACACTTGAGTTAAAGTATGAAGGTTAACTTTTTCCTACCCTTTTTTTTTGTTTGCAAGATAATTTCCTCAATTTTATCTTTCTAACCTTTGTATGACTTGGTTTTTCTCTAGAATCATTCTGTGCTTTATTAATATCATTTTAATTACTGCATTTAAATTTGGTGTCATTGTGTCCTTAATTTCTTACCCATGCCAGTTCCCATTGCATCTGAGCCTGTCTTATCTCTTATTGAAAGACTCCAGTTTTTGTAAAAATTTTGTGAACGTTAAAGCACTTGCACTCTAAAGCTACCCCTTTCTTTGGCTAGAAATAACATTCCAAGTAAGCCCTCTATCTATCTCTTGCACATAATAATTTTCTCTCCTTTCGGGGGGTTAATTTTTCAGTGTTTTATAGACACATTTTTTTAAATATTTTTCTTTGAGATCTGCTCTTTGTCAAAAGATTATTTGTGCTAGTTTTCCTTGGCTCCCTTCATGTTACCTGGTTAACACTTAGAGCCTCCTCTCACAATTCACCCCAAGGGCTGATGAAGTAGAATGTAGGTTTATCTACTTCATTTATTTAGTAAAGGGCCTAAGAGTGAGGAGGATTAGAATCTTGATCAGTCACAGTCAGAGAACTCATCTGTATATTTTTTTCCTTCTTAGTTTTATAAACGCCTGCACCAGAAGGCAGCCTGGAGAGGGGAGACTGTGTTT